GGCTCACGTATTTCGCATTGATGTTGCAGCGTAAAAACGCACAAAAATCGTTGGTCACTAAAAAATGCGCTGCAATAAAACGACAGCTATTCGAAATACTAGTAGTGAAGAGATGATAGCATATTGATAGACTATGAACTTCTTGATAGACGAACGGGTAAAAGAGCTAACCGTGACGATATCGGTATGCACTTGCTTCACTTTTTTGGTACCATTTCCAATAATGGCGCTTATTTCAGCAACAGAACTATTCATGGTTGCTATTACTTCTCCAATTTGATCATTAGCACTATCAATCACAGCAATAGCTTTTTGCAGTGAATCATCCACCTGAAATATCGAGTTTTGCCTTAGTTGAGCATTTTTTTCGAAACTGAAACTTCTCCAAACATATACACACAAGTAAATTCTTGGCAATATGCGTTTTTGAATTTGGACAAATGCGCAAAAAGCGTGTAAAAAATGGCAAAAAGATCGAGGACTGTTTTACGAAATCTGGGACATCTCGGCAGGACTGGCCGTGAAATTTAGAAGATCTTAGCCTTTTTTTACAGTTTCAGTGGGCGCAAACAAAGGCCCTCCAACTAATCTCACGCAACGCTTGCGCAAAAAAAATTTTGAAAAAATAGTCGTTGTCTTACCAGGCCATGAGGTTTAAATACATCGGATAGCAAATTATGTGCGAGGTTCCGAGCGTCGTTCACTTTATCACGCACCACACTGAATTGCTGAAAAATTAGTTTTATTTACTTCCACGTAAATCGTGAAAAAAACCCCGAAATATTTTTTGTTATCTTTCACACCACGCATGGAACTTTATCCTTCACAAAAAACTACATCTCCTGTCAAGAAGAGAAGCGAAATCAGGTTGAAAAAGTCAAAAAATTAAGGGTGATTAGGTCAAATTTATTTTACAACCAGCTGTTAACCGATATTTGAACAACTTTTTGAGTGGAATGTCAGCCCAATAAGCAGTTGCTATAATGTGTATATTCGAATACCTAAAA